AAATTGGCACTCAATGTAGATGATGTGGGATATCTTTCTGTATATGTGTTGCTTTTATTGATTGATAAATAAAGCTGTTTTAGCCAATGGCTTTGCAGAGTGAATCCAGGAAGGACATCCTAACAGAGATATATAGAGAGAGTAGGCAGAGTCAAGGAGACACCGTATAACTGCCAAAAGAGACAGACACCAGAACTTTATTGGTAGAACATAGATTCATGGTGATACATAGATTAAAAGAAGGAGGTTTATGTAAGATGTAGGAGCTAACTAGGAATATGCCTAAGCTATTGGCCAAACAGTATTGCAATTAATATAGTTTCTGTGTGATTATTTGCATCTTGGCAGCAGGAAAACGAACGAGCAGTCTACACTTACACCCCCTTGCATGTGATCCCCCTTTCCATAGTCCTCGGGTCCGGGCTAGAGTGTAAGGACTGCTGTGTTTGGTAAGCTCGGTTATGAGTCATATGCTGTGTTATGAATCAAGTCCTGTGCTGAGGAGACACCAGAGTTCAGAGGTCTCCTATAGGACAGAGCTGAATCAGAACACAGTCACTGATCTCAGTTAGCTACTGCTCAGCCAAGAGCTCCCTCTCTTCCCCCACGTTCTCTCTCTTTCTCTCTCTCCTTCTCTCTCTCTCTCTCTCTCTGTGTGTGTGTGTGTGTTGTGTGTGTGTGTGTCTGTCTGTCTGTCTATCTATCTATCTATCTATCTATTTCTAACTCTCACTCGCTCTCTCTTTCTCTTCCTGAAAATCAGGATGTAGCTCTCAGCTATGCCAACAGGACATTGCCTACCACACCTACCTCTGTGCTCCCCACCAAGGTGGAAATGGACTAAGTTGCTGAAACTGTAAGCAAGCCTTCAATGAAATGCTTTCTCTAATATGAGTGTCTTGGTCGGGTTGTCTCGTCACAGCGATAGAATAGTGACTAACACAGATACCAAGCAGGGACTATAGCCTTCATGTCCCCAAGTGAATATAAAAAAGTTGCTTCTTTGCTCTTGTTAATCTCATATTCTGTAGAGCACAAACACTGGAGACAGACAAAATGCAGACAGACATCCTGAAGATGTGAGAGTGACAAGAAATGGAGAAAGTGATCCACTGAGAGATTCCTGCGTTATCTGTTAATAGGGACTGGAGGTGAGTGGAATAAGTGTGGATGTCCAGAGGAGAGCCGCGAGTCAGGGCAGAGCAAGTGCCAATATCCCCACAAATGTCACCACAGACACATATCAGACACTGACACATATTAGAGAGGTGCAGATGCCTCTAATGTTAGGTTCATCACCGAGCTCCAAGAAACATTCTCTTGCCTTCGCCGCCAGATTAAGAGGGAGATGTACCACCAGAATTGGGAATGGAGGTATTAGAGAGGAGAGACATGAGGTTGTTATTCATCCTCCTTCTAACACCCAGCATCTACCCAAAATAATGACAGCAAGTCCAAGTCTGGACATGGAGCCAGGAGACATCAGAAGACAGAGTCATCAGGTAGCCTCTAGGGAGGAGGACTTCTGTGAGTTCAAGTTCAGCTTGAGCTAAATAGTACATTGCAGTCCAGCCTGGGCTGCACTGTGAAATACTGTCTCAAATAAGGTCTGAGACATAGCTCAGTTGCTCGAGTGCTTGCCTAGCATGCGTGGAGCCCTGAGCTCAATCCCGAGCACAGCATGGATGGGGTGGGGCGGCACACACCTACAAAACCTAGATTCGGGAGGTGGAAGCAGTAGGATCAATTCAAGGTCATCCTTAGCTGTGTAGGGGTCAAGCAGAGCTAGAGAAGCTGACACAAACGAACAACAGCCAATCAGAATAAGATGGACGGGGAGCGAGAGTTGTGACCTACAGGTCTGTACCCTTTGTTGGGGGTCTCAGCATCAAGGTGAACTCTGATTAAGAAATCAGATTCACAGTGCAAGCTTGACCAGCTCTGTGAAGCCAGAAATGGAGCCAGAGACCCCATGGGCTAAGAGGGTGCAGGAGAATTGTCTGTATTTTGTCAATCATGTTTTAAATGAACGCTGATTGGCCAGGCAGGAAGTATAGGCAGGAAAAACAAACAGGAAGTAGAGGTGATGCAATGAGAACAGGAGAATTCCGGGAAGAAGGAAGCTGATTCATCCCACTACTGCCCAGATCACCGAATCAGCAGGATGTGATCTGCCCCACTGAAAAAGGTACTGAGCCACATGGCTAACATAGATCAGAATAATAGGTTAATATAAGTCATGAGAGCTAATAAGAAACCTGAGCTAATGGGCCAATCAGCTTTATAACTTATGGAGTCCTCTGTGTGATTTTATTTGGAGTTTGCCTGCTGTGGAGTACTGGGCAGGACAGAAACTCAACAAACAAGCCTGGCCGTTCACATTACAAAGAGCACGCTGTGGACGGCTAAGCTGACTATTGGAAGGAGATAGTTCCTCCGTGCTCACAGAGATGGAACAAAAGATAATGGACAGCTCACAAGTCTAGTCAGGAAGTGACGTGTCTCAGAGGTTCAGCAACATGAACACAAAAGGAAATGCTATCCAGGCTGTGCCAGGAGTGGGAAGGTTAAGAAGCCTTAGCTTGAGGGCTAGGGGTCAGGTGACATCCTCAGATGACCATGGATATGCCCCTCACTGGGAGTGATAGGAACAAGTGCCCCTGGAGCCTGGAGCATCTTCAGAGTACTTCCTGTACCGGTTTATCTGGGTCCACACACAGGACCAGGAAGCAGAGGACAGAAAGGAGAACAAGGCACATGTGCATTGTTCTAGAACATTGTACGTTCTAGAAGGAGGCATCCCTTCCCCTCTCTTGGGCTTGGTGTGGTGCAGAAGACATCTGAGCTGAAGCAATGACACTGAGAGTGTTGGCAGTGTGGCTGCCTTCAGTTCTGCTCCTCTTGCAGGTCCCAGGTGAGCACGGGGACCAGATGGGGGGCTTTCAGCTTTGAAAGGGGAACTCCTGGTGTAAGTGAGAGGGCATGGCAGTGGGATGGGAGGTGGGCGAGAGCAGCCAGCAGAGGAAGATGGGGCTTAGAGAGAATGCGAGAGAGTGGGGGTGGGCAGGAGTGGGCAGCCTGGCCTCACAAGTGTGGTCAGGCTCAGAACAGTCATGTCAGCCACACCTGAGACAGTCAGGACCTGCTGAGAGGGTTAGGCGCGACGTCCTTGCCAGAGAATCGCACAGTCTCTACTGTGTACACACATATATCTGCATACATATGTGTGCATAACAAACACACACAAGCACTCAATCCCACTAAGGCACTTGTGCCACCCACAGAAATATATGCACATATAGGTACATAAGTAAAGTCTCTCTCCCTCTCCCTCCCTTTTTCTCTCTCTGTCTCTCTCTGTGTCTCTATCTCTGCCTCTGTCTCTGTCTCTGTCTCTCTGTCTCTCTCTCTCTCTCTCTCTCACACACACACACACACACAGAGAGAGAGAGAGAGAGAGAGAGAGAGAGTTGTTTGCTCCTGGATCTTTCCTTTCTCCAGGGATAAGCCCCCTCCGGCCCTCTCTTATGGACAACAGAGGTGCTGACCTCAGTTCTAACTTCTGGTCTGACCAAGCCTGTCTCCTTTCTCATTGCTTCCTCCAGACCAGAGCTCTCTAAGACCTGACCAAGGGAGGCCTGACCGCCATCCAGCTGTGAGGGTGCAGTATTGGTGTTTGTGTTTTCCAGGCTGTGTCCCTTTGCGTGGCCCCAGCACCGTGACAGGCGCTGTGGGGGAGTCCCTGATTGTGCGGTGTCAGTATGGGGAGAAATACAAGAGTAATGCCAAATACTGGTGCAGAAACTCGCTGTGGCAATGTAATTATATTGTCATGACCAGAGGCTCAAAAGAAGCTAGGAGTGGCCGAGTGTCCATCAGGGATCATCCAGCCACCCTCACCTTCACAGTGACCTTGGAGAACCTCACCCGGGAGGATGAAGGCATCTACAAGTGTGGAGTAGATGTACCATTTATTAATGATGGGTCCTTGTGGGAGATTGATCCCACCCTGGGGATTGATAACTCCTTCAATGTTGTGGTGTCTGTAGTACCAGGTAAGCCCCCTTCATCCCCTAGCATCCTGTGTCCAGGTCTGTCATTCCGTCATGAAAGAAGGAAGCTAGATACAGTAGCATGGTGAGTTTGGTGAATCAGTGACGCAGACACAGGGAGTGTGAGTCCACATGTGCCATTGTGAGAGCATGGGTGGTGTGTGATAGCGTATGCACACCAGTTCATGCGTGTGCATGCACACACTGGCACAATGGGGAACCTGACTTCTTAGAAACTCTCTTCAGTAAATTTATTTATTTACTTACTTACTTACCAGACTTGTCCATGGTATATGCCAGTCAGAGGAGAATTTCTTGGACTTAGTTTTCTTTTCTACAGTGTGGGTCCAGTCCAGGAGGTCAAACTCAGGTCATCAGGCTTGGCAAGCAAGAGTCTTCACCCACTGAGTTGTCTCATCAGACCCTGTTGGAGATTCTCTTTGTGTCCCATGTGACAGTCTCAAGCCTGAACTTTTCTAGAGACAGGCCCTGAATGCCTGGCTCTTTGTGACTTCCTGTCCCGATAGGAGGCACGTCCTCTCTCCCAGGTCTCATTTGGTCTGGTCCTCATCTCCATGTGGGAACAGTACCCCAGCACATCTGCTCCCCTCCATCAAGGGCTGCTCTGACCTGGGACTGAGTGGACAACTCCCTTCCATGGAGGCCCTGAGGGACCAACTTCATCACAGTAGTTCTGGGGCTTCCGAGAGGAACCGGAGACACAAGAAAGCGTCTAGATTGTATATCAGGGTTCTTGATCCCTGAGGAATCCATTCAACCCCTCCAAGTTCCTCTGTGTTCCCCTTTCCCAGGAACCATTTCCTGCAGGAAGAAACTCAGAGAATCCCCCAAAAGTGGCCCTAGCCAGGCAGAGGTGAACGGGGACTCAGCTACTTTGGTCCCAATGTTCTTCATGCCCGCATTCCACTTTCCCCTTACGGAGGTTCCCTTGGTCATAGAACCCCAACTTGTGCATCTCTTTCATAAGACCAGGGTGGTGGCAGGGGCTGAAGGGCTGAACTGCTCGGTCAGTTTTTATTTTATTTTCTGAGAGAGGGTCTGTGTAGGCCAGGTTGTCCACAAACTCACTGTGTAGTGGGGTTCGTCCTGAATGACTGGTCTTCCTGGCTCTGCCTCTCCCGCACTGGCATCCCCACACCCAGCTTCCTGTTCTGGTTCTCAGTGTTGGCTTCTCCCTCACATAAACTTCCCTCCAGCATCCTATGTGTGTTCACACTGAGGAGTGCGCAACCAAATCTACTGGTATTACTTGTTCTCCACAGTAGAGGCCACTCTCCACAGGGTCCTTCAAGCATCTGCCTTTCTAGAACTTTCCGTCTGGCTAAGCCTCAGAGATGACTGCCCAGTGGGCTGTCTGGCTGACAGTGTGGGAATGAGTGGGCCAGGCACACAGGGTCCCACCCCTCTGTGTCTGTCCCCACAAGGATGGAAGACAAGGAGGCAAAGGTGGGACTGAGGCCAGCTGGGACCTGATAACATGTGTCTTGACACTGACACTAAACTCTCCTCTGTAGGAAGGCTGACCTCGAGTTTGAAGGTGCCAACCAGCCACACTGCTCCATGGGAAGGGCTGGGAATGGAAGCCCTGACCAGGTCTTGGTGTGGTCATGAGTTTTATGGGCTAAAAGACAGCTGTTCACCATGTTCCTGTTAATCTGTGTGAAGCAGAACTGCAGAGGTTTCAGTGGGTAGGAGGTGGAGTAGAGGTCACTGGGACTATCTTGTGTTTCCATTTTTTGCTACTATCATAGACCATATCCCTGGTAACAGAACAAATACCCTGACATCTCCCACATCCTCACCAGTGCACACTCAGCCCAGCGTGACCACAGAGGACACAACTCCTGGTCCCAGCCTACAACCTCGGTAAGGAACCCATATCCCTGAGGTCTCTGGATTGTGTGTGGGGGGGTAATGCTGAGAGGGTGGAGGGAGCGGGTTTGCATCCCCTCCTCGGGCATCTCCTGCATCTCCTAATCCCACACTGACCTGGGGAGGGGGGATGTCTTGTGAGTGCCAGTTGCTCTTGTAAAGATTGGAACACAGCAATAACACCCAGACACAGACCTGCTGAGACGGAGTTAGTTTCACATCCAGAGCCTGAGGAGACGGCTCTGTTGGTAAAGTTGTCGTCTTGCAAACACAAGGATCTGAGTTCGAGTCACAGCACGCACATGTCAGGCATGGTAACATATACTTAAAATACCTGATCTCTGGAGGTGGAGACAGGACCATGACTGAGACTCACTGAATAGCCAGCCTAGCTTCCGTGGCAAACTCCAGGCCAATGAGAGATCCTGTCAGAAAAGAAGAGAGATGGACCAGGCATAGTGGCTTCTGCCTTTAGTCCCTACACTTGGGAGCAAAGTTATCAATCTCTGAGCTTAAGACCAGCCTGGACTACACAGCAAATTCCATCTAGTCAGTGGGACACAGTGAGATCTGTCTCAAAACAAACATATCAAGGTGATGATTTTGAGAAATGGTTTCCAAGGTTATCTTCAGGTCTCCACATTCATGTGCACACATGTGCACCTCATATGCACAGATGAACATGCACACAGATGAACACAAACACACACAAATAAATTAACTAATTAACTAATTAGAATAAATATAGGCACGGGGTTTGCTAGCACAAGTCTTCAATCCCAGTGCTTAGTAGGCAGAGGCAGTGAGTTCAAGGCCAGCCTGGTCTACAGTGTAAGTTCCAGGACAGCGAGGGCTACATAATAGAGAGACTTTGTTTCAAAAAACCAAAACCAAATGACAAAATAATAAAATAACTGCTCCTAGGAGGAAAAGGGGAGGCTCAAGTTAAAGAAGAGCTGGGGCCTCGTTGGGGGGCTGGGCACGCCTGCCTTGTTACAGGCTTTGGGAGTTGAGGTTCATGGGGTTGTCCTAGAGAGTGGGCCAGGCCCACAGTGCAAGGCAATCGGTCACACTGGCTGATTGGGTAGGGGTCTCTTGTCCCTGAAAAGAACACATGGACACACACCTGGGTGAAAGAGACAGGGATGGTAAAGGGCACCTGCGCTGCATTCTGGGAAGGCACTTTACTGTGACCTTGTCTCCCACAGGTCCCTGATGAGCAGCATCTACTTCCAGATCCTGGTCTTTCTGGAGCTGCCCCTGCTCCTGAGCATGCTCAGTGCAGTCCTCTGGGTAAACAGACCTCAGAGGTGCTCTGGGGAGAAGCGGCATCGCCCCGATTAGGAGAATCAGTGACATCTGTTGACAACGAAGCCCTGTCCATGTCGCCGCACACAGCTCCCCTGGTGTCAGAGGACAGTCTGTGCTTCTGAGAATACTCTGAGATGTCTTAGAAGATTCTTTGTGCTGTGTCAAACACATACAAGAATGTGCCCAATAAATACATATACATATTAATAGAATATCTTTATTTATTCTTTGATAATTCCACACATGTACACCCCAACTCTATCATATCCACCTCCAACCCGACCCCCCCATTCTCGCGGCCAGTTGTTCCCTCCCCCTTCATGGTCTATCCCCCTATTTCCATTCTTCTTCTTCTTTACATAACCTCTGTGACCAGTCAGCGCCACCTGCTGGGATGCTCACTGACCTTGCTGTCCTGGTGCTGTGCAGGTGACCGCAGCTGCAGTGTCGTGAGAGCAGTGGCCGTGGCACAGCCGGAACACAGCATCTCACAGCCCCTCCCTCTCCACTCTGGCTGTCAAGTTCTTTCCCCTCCCTCTTTCTTACATAATGTTCCTGAACCTTTGTAGGTGGAGGTCGCTTGTTCATCCCAGCTGCCCAGAACCAAAATAACCACACAGAAACTATATTAATTAAATCATTGCTTGGCCCATTAGCTCTAGCTTCTCATTGACTAACTCTTAAATATTAACTTAACCCATTTCTATTTATCTGTATATTGCCATGTGGTTGTGGCTTACCGGGTAAAGTTCCCAGCTTCTGTCTCTGGTGGCGGCTGCATGGCTTCCCCCTGACTCCGCCTTCCTTCTACCTTGCTAGAGGCCAAACCAGTTTCTTTATTCATTGACCAATAAAAGCAACACATAGACAGAAGGACCTCCCACACCAAACCTTGGAGTAGGATGGAGATGCTTGGGATAGGGTGGGGGTGCATTGGGATAGGGTAAGAGTGCCTTAGGGTAGGATGGGGGTGCCTTGGGGTAGGGTGGGGGTTTGACATAGATGTCTCTCTTAGGGCTGAGCACTCAATAGTTACTTTTTCTCAGCACTTAGATGACAGCAGAGAGATGCTTCTCCAACCAAGGCTGGGGACAGCACTAATCAAAGGGTTCAAACATAGATGTTTAGAGGGCAGTTTGGCAATGTGTCCAATAAATACACACACCTTACATGGAAATACGCTTGGCACTGTGCCCTTCTGCAGATCCAATCATAGAACATGGTCCATACTGGTGATCCCCCTCTCTGATGTCATATTCCTGCTTTCTACCCCTGTGGTGACAACCTCAACCTCGGATTTTATCTGCGGGCCTTACAGTTTTATCACATACATGCACATGGATTGGCCAAGCATATTTTTTAGCACCTTTATTTCTGATTGTTATATGGACAGAGTTATACATTTTTTAATGATTTTAATTATTTATTTATTATATATACAGTGTTATGCTTGCAGGCCAGAGGAGGGCACCAGATCTCATTACGGATGGATGTAGTTGCTGGGAATCAGATACTTCCCTTCCTTTATCTGTCTGTCTTCCTATCTGTCTGTCTGTTGGTGTGTTTGTCTGTTGGTGTATCTACCAGTCTGTGTCTATCTGTGGGTGTGGGTGTGTCTGTTTGTCTGTGTGCTTGTGTGTCTGTCTCTACATTTCTCTCCCCTTGTCCTTCTTTCTTTCCTTCTTCCTTTTCTTTCATTAGCAGAGCCTTATAGTGTAGCCCAGGCTAGTTTTCACCCCCTCATTCTCCAGCCTCAGCCCTCCTAGTTCTGAGACCGTAGGCATGTGCCATGCTCAGGACGCATGCTTCATTCCTAAGCCTTTGGTGTTCTCATTAGATGTTGTGCCTCTGAGGTTCATGCACACTGCTGTGTTGACGCTCTAACGTGCATCTTGTTTGTGTTGACCTCTGGTTGGCTAGGTCAGCACAAAATTACGTAGCTTTCCTTCTGTGGATAAACACAGTAGAGCCTCTCTTTCCTTTTCTTCTCCCTTCTTCCCTCCACCTCCTCTTCCCTCCCCCATCCTGCATTTGTGATGAAACAGAAAACAAGATGGTCTCTTGACATATTCTCTCTATATCAACCTAGAGGTGTCCTGGGACTCACAGAGATCCATCTGCCTCTGCCTCCCTAGTGTTGGCAATAAAGGTGTGCACCGTCATGCCTGGCATGGATGTATTTTCTCATTTGAGGTTCTCTCTTCTCAGATGACTCTAACTTGAGTCAAGTTGACATAAAATATAGCCAGTACAGTGCATCAAATGCACCTTTTGGATAACTTTCCTAGCTATGGACCTGGACTGTAACCTCAATTATTCGGGAACTTTGAAAATACCTTTTTAAGGGTTGGTGAGATGGATCAGCTTCACTGTGAAAACCTGGCCAGCTGGGTTCGATGCCCAGAATGATGGTGGAGGAGAGAACCAGCTCCCAGGTGTTATCCTCTGACTTCTACATGCAAGCTGTGTTGCACATCCATGCTCACAAACACATCACACACACACACACACACATATACACAAGAAACAAAATTTAAAATAAATAATAAAATGTCTTAATAAACTATTTCTTCTTTGAAACCTGTTCATATGTTTGCTATATTTGATTTTGAATAACTTGCATTTTTATTTCAAGATTTTTAAAAAGATTTTATTTTAATTATTTGTGTGTGGCACACACACATACACACACACACGCACATGTAAAAGAAGTGCCCATGGACAACAGAAGAAGACAATGGATTTCCCTGGAGCTGGAGTTTCAGGTGGTTGGGAATCACATGTTGTAGGTTTTGGGAACCAAACTTGGGTCCTTTGAAAGAACAGTATATACTCAATCACTGAGCTGTCTCTCCAGTGCCTATTTTTAAATTTTTAGTTACATATATGTATGTACAATCACATATAATTACATATATATGTATACATATATATATATAATTACATGTAATTGCGTACTGTGTGTGGTTATGTGCGTTTGAGTGCAGTTGTCCATGAAGGTCAGAGGTAGCTCTTACCTAATAAACCACCTCTCTCGCTCCTGATAGTTATTTAATTATTGCATTTTCATTATTTTGAATTTTGTGTCTGTGTGAGATTAGAGCGTCAGATATCCCTAGAGTTACAGGCGTTTGTGTGCCCCTGATGTGGGTGCTGGAAGTAGAACTTGAGTGCTCTGGAAGACTGGGAAATGTTCTTAACAACTGAATCCTCTCTCCAACCCCTTATTTTTATTTTAAATGGTGTCTTTAGGAGGGAGACATGGCTCAATGGTAGCATGCTTGCCTACCATGTGAAAACCCTGGTTAGATCACCAGTACCACACACACAAAAAAAAAAAAGAAAAATTATTATTAAGTGGTATTTTGTGCATCTATATGACAACTTTTTTAAAATCTTAGAAATTTCTTTTCATTTTTATATGTAGACGTTTCAATTATAACAAAATTTGGTTTCTTTCCAATCCTTTTGTCTTTTTTGATGTATTAGTTAGTGTTCTATTGCTGCGGTAAAACATCAGACCAAGGCAAATTATAGAGGGGAGGATTTATTTGGGCTTATGATGCCAAAGGGGTTGGAGTCTATCATGGGAGGCAATCGTGACAGCAGGCAGCAGGTACAGCTGAGAGCTCATCTCTTGGGCCACAAATAGGACACAGAGAGTGTTGGGAAGAGCAGGAGGCTTTGAAACCTCAAAACGAGACACTTCCTCCAACAAGACGCCACCTCCTAAACCTACTAAACAGCACCATCAACTGGGCATTCAGTATTCAATGCCAGGTGTGCCAAGCACAGCTGGGAACCCGACTGCTGGGGCCCATCATTATAGCCTAGATCACTTCTGAACCTAATACCCAGAGAGTTTTACCCCTTAACCCAAGGCCAGATAGTCTGGCCATCCCCACCACTGGTCTACAGGCTTGCCGCCTCTGCTCGCCTGTCACAGTTCCCTAACCTCCTCATTTCTCCTGAGTGACCAGCTCTGTAAAGAGCTGATGCATCTTGTGATGAGTAATGGACAGCAGGAAATACCCACTCTATAAAAGGAAGCTGACGAGGAAGACACCCACAGGCAACCTGGACAAGCAGAAGGGGTCAGCTGGGCTCTCCAGTGCGTTGTGTATCCAGCTGGGATTTGAATTTGCTGCTGGCTGTCGATCAAGGGTGTGAAGCAGGGAGGCAGGACCATGTGGCTATCCCCAACTCTGCTCCTCCTCAGTTTCCCAGGTATGTTCAGCTAGGGTCTGGAAGCTTGGGACTGCAGCTGCCAAGCAGGAGGCAGAGGGCTCTGTCCTGGGTTTGAGGGAGAGCTGCCTGCTGCTTTCGGGGACATGAAGCTCTGCAGCTTCATTCAGCTAAAGGACCCCTGATTCTATATCATGCCAGGCACATGTCGGGACCTGGGAACGTGAAGGGAAAGGAGAAATGGAGTGACCATCAAAGAAATCCCAGATGCTCTGATGGGTGAGACATACTTTAGAATAAGAATGCGGCAGGGAAGAAAGACAGGACAGAAGAGGAAGGAACTTAGAGCAGGGAGAGGCTACCACTAAGGGAGCTACAGAAAGCCCTCCTGGACCCGTGTTCCTTCCATGCCCCAGGAGGAGACAGATCTTGGCAGCCCTTGCAGTAAGAAGAGTAGGCGCTCGATGGAGAAGGCATAGCTTGGGGAAAGGGCTACAGGCTTAAAGAGGTGGCACACCCATGCAGAGGGAGCTCTCAGTGGGCAGGACACTGAGGGGACACTGGCTAAACGTGAGTTTGGAAATGCCAAAAATAAAATGGTGACTGACAGCTGTGGATGCCTACATGCCCTAGCTAGCGTCTGAGTTTCAGCTCCCAGCTGCCTGCTCTCTACTTCTCAACGTTAGGCTTTCCCAGAGGCCAAGCGGGACAGGAGGAGCCCTGCGTAGCTTGCACATTTGCTCTCTCACACACACACATTCACTAGGACACTCAAAGGCACACATCTGCTTACAGTCACACTCAGTCCATACCCCCACGATCCTCTACTCACTCACATTCACACTCCTAAGATGCCATACGCTGAGACTGTTCACAGAAGGAATTTTAATTTTTATTGTATTATGTGTGTGGGTGTTCCGCCTGAATGTGTGTAAGTGCATCACGTGTGTGCCTGGAGCCTGCAGAAACTAGAAAGAAGTTCCTAGCTCCCCCGTGGAACTAGAGTCATAGATGGTTGCAAATGACCATGCTGAAGCTCAGAATTGAACCTGAGTCCTCTGGAAGAGCAGCCAGTGTTGTTAACAACTGAATTATCTCTCCAGTTACCCACCCACCTACCCCCCTTTTATTTTATTGATACAGGGTCTCATTACATAGCCTTGACTAGCCTGGAGCTCACTATGTAGACCAGGCTGGCTTCAAACTCACAGAGATCCTCTGCCTCCCGCATGCTGGGGCTAAAGGCATGCAGCTACCCTGTTAGGTAACTTTAAAAAATAATCTAATAATAATGTGCTTTGGAATCACTCTTGTCATTGTTTGGACAATACTCTTTGCTTTTTAACTGTGTATCGCTACATCAGAACTTCCCAATCTAATTCCCTATTAGCGGCCTTTGAGTTTTCCCGGTGTTTACTGTTACATCCGTGATGAGGATAATTCCCACACTCCACTGTCTTTACTAATCCTAGAGCTAGGATGGTTGTGTGCGTGACCACTATGCACAGATTCTTCACAAAAATAGCTAACAACTTTAGTGGTACCCACCATGACCAAGACACTGAGCAAGACTGGGGTTGGGGATGGAGAAAGGGAGAAAGGATGTACAGCACCTCTGGGCTTTGGGCGTGAGAAGCCTGTTGAGGACATTAGGGAAAGAGATATAAAGGCGTTGGGCTCCAGACGAAAGGCCAGGGGGCCAACAGGAGGAGGAAGCTCCAGGAAGAGGAGGAGGCATTAGTAAGGAGCTCAGCCTGGTCCACAGCCTTGAGAGGGTGCATTGGGGTTAGGGAAAGCAAGGCTCAGGTGGCTACAAGAGGAGCAAGGAACGACACTATGGAGAAACTAAAACCAGTTTGCAATAGGACATCCATTGCAGGAATGAAGCTTTTCCAGTCACTCTGGGGCAGGGGAGTAGCTGACATGCCAGATGCTGCTGAAGGGGAAGAGGAGTAGCTGACATGCCGGAGGCAGCTGAGAACGCAGGGGAGTAGCTGATACGTTGGGTACAGCTGAGGGGGCAGGGGAATAAGTGACATTCTGGGTGCAGAGGAGGCAGGGGAGTAGATGAGATGCCGGGTGCAGCTGAGGGTGCAGGAGAGTAGCTCACATACTGGGTGCACTTGAGAGTGCGGGGGAGTAGCTGACATGCTGGGTGCAGCTGATGAGGAGACAGGCTCAGTTCGTCCCGACAGCAGTTTGAATTGAAAGAAGTGCGGGGCGCCATCCTGTCCAGCAGGAATGAACCCCACCAAAAACGAGAATTCCTTCTCTGGTCACATCTTTATTTGGAGCATTCCCTTGAGGAAAATTGGGGGAAGGGACGATAGAGCAGGGACGAGAGAAAGCTTAGAGAGAGGAAGTAGGGTCCCGAGGCATCTGCTTTTAAACGGTGGAGCGGCTTGAACGCTGTCCTGATTGGTTAATGCCATTCTGCTGGTCTGAGCATGTGCAGGCAAGGGTGCAGGCAGGGGTGCTCAGCCCCACATGGCTACCTCCAAACTGCAGGACCACCTGTGCCTCCAGGTGGCTCCCAACATCTCCCCCTAATTATTGTCTTTAAGAGCAATAAGGCAAAACTATTTTCCAATCTGGTCCCCACCTAGACGCAGCATGCCAAGGATATCTGCTCCCACCCATCCCCAAGGAGGGCGATGGTGTGAAACAGCTGCTCTTGGCACCGCCCAGAAGGTCATCTCTGCTGTCTCCGCACGAATCTTTTACAGCAGGACACTCAGCATCCATTGGGTCATCTTCTTTATCTCTCTGGTCGGTCTCGCTGGCATCCAGATGTATGTCAGCATTCCTAGAAAAACATAAACAAAACTCTCCTCCCAAATTAACATTTAAGAGTATTAAAAACTCTCAGTGTAAAAATTCAGCACAATCAGTACTGGAAGTAGGCTGGTTTTGAACTTAGAGATCTGCAGGTCTCTGCTTCAAAAAGCAAATCTTGTTTGCTTGTACCAGCAAAATTTTGAATTAAAAATTAAGTGTATAGAATGCAAGAGAAATCCTTTCTCTGGGGGAAGCTGTCACTGGTAGTGTAGTCCCCCTCTATTGTTTAAAAACCAAAGCAGTTGTCACTGGGAATTGAACTCATAACCTTTGGAAGAGCAGTCAGTGCTCTTAACCTCTGAGCCATCTCTCCAGCTCCCCTATTCAGATGGAAAAACCTCTAGGTAGCATTGTTTATCTCACCAGGTGCCTCAGGCAAAAGGTCCGCCTTTCTTTGTTACCTAGGATACGGTAACCAGGTAAACATGCCTTTATTATGATAATCACGACCAGTTCTTTAAGGGAGAATGGGCGTAGCATCGATCATCTTACTACTTCCTGCTGACAAAGGGGCGATGTTTGGGGGATAAATGTTTTTATCTGACTAAATTCTTGGCGACCTTGGCTGAGGGCGGCAGCAGCGGACGGCGGCTCCGTCTCTGAGGCCCACCGTGGCGCGCTCCGCATGGCCCAAAGGCATGGCTCCGCCCCGGGCCGTGCGCGGGCTCGCCGTTTCACCTCAGGCAATGAACTCGCACCGCCGGCTGTGAGCCTTTTCCAAGCTCCGGCGAGGGGGGGCATCCGCCCACCCGTGGAGGGGCTTCTCCTGCCCGGTCCGCCCGCGCGCAGAGCCCCGTTCTCTGGGAACTCACCTCCCCGCTCGCCCATGTTGCTATGGAAACACAGTTTTTCCGCAGAGCCGATTCAGCTCCTCTCTGCCTTCTATGGCGCCGCTGCTCACCACGCAGCTTCCGCCTCAGTCAGGCGAGTCCGCTCAGGTGCTGAAAAAGTCCTCCAAAAACCATAGCCCCGCCAGAAGGCCGGGACATATAGCCTCTGATGTCACACGGACTTTAGCCTGCCCGCGACCTGGCTATTCGCAGGCCTCTGCGGACTCCAGCAAATTTCCCGCCAGCAACTGGTTAGCATGGCCATGCCTCCCGAACGAGCTAGCACTGGAGAGTGCAATTTTGCGTCTCCCTCCTGAGTAGCTGGGATTACAGGTGTGCACCACCGTGCCTGGCCCACTTCCGTGTTTTTAATCAGGCATTACCGCTCAAAGGCGGGCCGGCTGCCGCCAGCACTCTCAGCACGATCAAGCAGCTTGTCTTTCTCAGTCAAAAATTAAAGTTTTTTGTACGTGAGAGCCAGAGACTGAGCTCTCTTAACAAAATTAGGCGAAAATCACCTCCAAAAGCTCTGTGGCTCTTTAAGAACAGGGAAGGCAGTGATCAAGTTTGCCTCCCTACGAGACTGTTGCCTCCAGTCTCTATCAGCGAGTACGCAGGTGGACGGAGAGGGAGCGGAAGCCGCGGTCTCCCGTACCCCATCGTCCTCAAAGTCCCGCCTTAGTTACCTCGTATTTTCTTTTCTATTTAGGCCTATCCTTTGAAATTCCTTTTTACATTTCTTTTCCTCCCCTTTCTGGGGATTTCAACCGACGTCACTCACCGCTCCATGTTCTCAGAGTTCTGAAATTCAAGGCTCTCTGTGCTGGTGTCTGATCTTGGCTTTTTCTCCCGGGCTTTCTCAGGGTCCCCCGGCGTAGTTGTCAGGGTCCCTCAGCGTCCCGGAGTTTCGAGCACCAGTTGCGGGGCGCCATCCTGTCCAGCAGGAATGAACCCCACCAAAAACGAGAATTCCTTCTCTGGTCACATCTTTATTTGGAGCATTCCCTTGAGGAAAATTGGGGGAAGGGACGATAGAGCAGGGACGAGAGAAAGCTTAGAGAGAGGAAGTAGGGTCCCGAGGCATCTGCTTTTAAACGGTGGAGCGGCTTGAACGCTGTCCTGATTGGTTAATGCCATTCTGCTGGTCTGAGCATGTGCAGGCAAGGGTGCAGGCAGGGGTGCTCAGCCCCACATGGCTACCTCCAAACTGCAGGACCACCTGTGCCTCCAGGTGGCTCCCAACAAAGAAGGATGCACCAGACCTTTCTGAATGCTACTACCACGATCCAAGTACGAGAGCCGACTCCTGCCAAACAGCCCAATATCCAGCATTAGACGGTTTCATGAGGTTTCTAACAGCCAGAATCTGACTGAAAGGAGCATGGCAGCTGTGCTCAAGGGGAAGCGAGGCTCAGCGAGGTTAAGTAACCTCCCCAGGGTTTCTCAATAACGCCATGGTAGACGCGGCCATCTGCTGGCAAAGTTCACACCCTCTCTGCTCTGTCGTGATGTCCCATGGGCTGTGATAACAAAGACATAAAGATGGTTCAGATCGGCATTTCCAGGGTGCAGTTGGTTGAACTGGCGACCAGTCACTTGCGGACGGAAGGAGAGGAGAAATCAATATAGATGCTAATTCTCCAATGTGGCTCCCGAGTGGAGTAAGCTCAGTGCTTACAAGGGGGTCTGGCAGAATCCTTTATGCACCTCCTGCGGCTGCTGTACCCAGTGACCACAAATGCACCAGCATTCTTCTCTGCTTCCCGATGGCAGCAGATGCAATGTGACCAGCCACCTCATATTCCCACCACCATACAGTCCCCGCCATGGTGGATGCAGCCCTTAAACCAGAATTTTGAAAATAAAAACAAAAACAAACCCCTGCTTCCTTCCTTAGGTTGCTGGTCGGGCAGTTTTGTCCCAGCTGGGAGGAAAGTAACTCATGCCCTGGATTTCCCCAGGTACATGTAGAACCAGCCCAAAATGGCTCATAAGACTTGGTTTGAGACATCTCAGCTCAGTTCAGTGCTCACTGATAGCCTGATGTCAGTCTCAATGGGGGACATTTACACCACAGAGACTGGCAGATGTTACTAAGATGGAGGGATATTGCCTAGATAGAAGACAGTTGACCGTTTCCCAGCATGCCACTCTAAGATCCAGAGAGAAGAAAGAGAAAGGTCACAGAGCAGAACAGTCAGAGCAGGGAGGCGATCCAAGGAGAACAGCGGCCAGAGGTCACGGAAAAGGTGGCGGAAATCAGAAGTGTTACATGATACAGAGGCCTGGGGAGATAAAGTCTGGAGAGGCCAGGGCACAGGCATACAGGGGTTAATAGCACACTGGACCTCAGAGGAAACAGATGTGAGGAAACAGATGTGAAGATCCAAGTGGATCATGGCGGCTGCAGTGAGCAGGACCCTTCTCCAATCCTGTGGACGTTAGGTTGACTTAGATATCTTGCCCTCCTGTTTTCCAGGCTGTTTTGCCATCCAAGGCCCAGCATGGGTGAGAGGCCCAGAGAAGGGGTCAGTGACCATTCAATGCCACTATAGTTCCAGATGGCAAGCCTACAACAAGTGGTGGTGTCGAGGAGCAAACTGGAAGACTTGCAGGGTCCTCATTCGAACCACGGGGTCAGAGAAAGAAAGGAAGAGTGGCCGGTTGTCCATCAGGGACAACTGGAGAGAGAACTCGCTCCTGGTTACCATGGAGATGCTCAGGCAAAATGACACAGACACTTACTGGTGCGGTATTGAAAGATTTGGAACTGACCTTGGGACCAGAGTTAAAGTGACCGTTTACCCAGGTAAGCATTGGCCTATGGGTTACCCCAAAGTTCTGGTGCTTGGGACCAAAAAGACTAAAAAGAAAGAACTGGTAGTCTAAAAGACAGACAGACAGACAGATAGGACAGGGCAGTGACAGAAGTAAGGAAGAATAGCAGTCCAACACTTTTACCAATGTAAGCTCCTGGGGTCACTCTAAGGAATTCAGCAGATGTGAGTCCTGACTGGTAGATGTCTATGTGGGGCTGGGGCTTAGACATCTCCCTTTGGGACCCATGGCCGAGCCCTGCTACCCTGCAGTTTCCTGGAGCTACACAGCCCTGGAAACTCACATTCTTCCCCTGGAGACTTGAGTAAGTCTTGGATGCCTGAAGAATCCCTCAGCACCGCAGGCTGAGAAGTTTCTAGTTTTCTAAGACGTGTACCCTTGCCCTGTCATTACATGGGACAGTGGGAGCGAGCTAAGGCATCCGTGGGGAGGGCCGCAGGGTTGAAGGCCAGGCCTGGCCAAACCACAGTGACTCTGGGCACGTTGACGGGCCTGAACTTTCCGGGTGACCACTTCTGCTTTTTCTGACTACAGAAGACAAAGCGTGGGGTGAGGAAGACCCAGGAGGCTTGCAAGTGTTAAGTAGATGCTTTAAATGGAGGCTTTGGTTACTAAATCAAAATCAGAGACATCCCTGGTTCTCCTGACTTCTTCCTGTCTCATCCTCATTGAGGGACTCCAGGGTCTTCTGTTGGTACCCAAAAGGCAGCCCTCCCCACTTCCACCCGACTAGTCATGCTCAGACCTTCCTCAGCCCGGCAGACACGCTGGCTCCTGAGAAGGCAACAAGCAAACACAGCGCTGGCACTGAAGTTAGCCCATGGGGGTGACCGGGCTGAAACAATGAGAGAGATATGGAAGTTGCCTCCTAGGGAATGTGAGGTGCAGAAAGGATCACCCCCCAAAAAGATTTCCCCAGGGACACAGCTCAGAGGATGTTGAGAAGATCTGTGGGGACACAGCGTGGGTTGAATAAGACATGTAGGCAAAAGACAGAGTAGCCAAAGAATGTGCCCCACGCTGAGCTTGAAGTGTCCAGGGGGACAGGGGACACCAGCCTATATGGTGACTGTGACCTCTTGGAGGACAGCAAGGACTGGGGCTCCCCAGAGTTCTCCTCAGCTTCCAAGTGTTCTTAAAACCCGGAACCTTTGCAAGAAGGGTTTGCTGGGTCAAGAGCTAGCCCAAAGGACTAGCCAGAGATGCTCATGCCCAGCTGGGCTCAGGAATCCATGACCCAGCCACCCACTACAAGCCGCCCGGAGTTTCTTCTCGGTGACATTTCCTTCCTCAGAACCATTCATGATTTAGCTAGCATGTGCCTTCTTGCTCAGCGACCTTCAGGAGTCCCTCTGTCACTCACCACCCTGGCCACTAAAGACTTGTTTCTGGGATCATCGGTCCTTGAGCCTTACTCAGGTACTGTTTGAATGGAAAGGCACAGAGGTTCATCCCCCTGCCAAAACAAATGGAAAGAGACTGTGGGTGTCTCCTCCTCCAGAACTACAGTCTTTCTCCTCCCTGATTTCCATATCTCCCTGTCATATAGCCTATTAATAAAAAAGATGAAGGAAATGACTGTATGGGGAATCCAACAGTTCAATAGAAGCCAAAGGACTGTATCAGAGAGATGGGGCTTCCTAATCCAGGGGAAGAATGGTCTCCTGATGTGATGGAGAGTTTTATGTCAATTCGGCACAAGCCGGAGTCACTGGAGGAGATGGAGCCTCCATAGAGAAAATGTCTCCGTAAGATCAGGCTGTAGGCAAGCCTGTAGGGCTTTTTCTTAATCAGTAATTAATGTGGGAGGATTCAGCCCATTGTGGGCAGTGCCACCCCTGGACTGGTGGTTCTGGGTTCTACAAGAAGGCAGGATGAGGAGCTGGAGAGGTGGCTCAGCAGTTAAGAACAATGGTTGCTCTTCCAGAGGACCCAGGTTCAATTCCCAAGGCCCACATATGGCAGCTCACAACAGTCTGTGACTCCAGTTTCCACACAGATATATATGCATGCAAAACACCAATGCACAGAAAATTTTTAAAAGAAGGAAAAAAATAAAGAAAAATCATTTAAGGGAGGAAGTAAAAAGAAGGAAGGGAAGAAGTAAAGAAGGAAGAAAAGGAAGGAAGAGAGAGAGAGAGGAAGAAAGAAAAAAAGAAAGAAAGAAAGAAAGGAAGGAAGGAAGGAAGGAAGGAAGGAAGAAAGACAAAAGAAAGAAAGAGAGAAAGAAGTTGGCTGAGTAAGCCATGGGGAGCAAGCCAGTAAGCAGCACCCTCCATGCCCTGCATCAGCTTCTGCCTCCAGGTTCCTGCCCTGCTTGAGTTCCTCTCCTGCTTTCCTCCAGTGATGGACTAGGACGTGGCAGTGTAAGCCAAATAAACCCTTTTCTCCCCAACTTGTTTTGGTCATGGTGTTTCATCACAGCAATAATAACCCTGACTAAGACACCCAGTGAGGGCTGGTTGGATGGGGTGCCAATGTGAGCCATGTATGAACCACCCCCAATCTGTTCCATAACCTATGGCCATCTTTGCTTATGTCTAGAGGGAAAAGATACCATGTCTTCCCAGCTACACTCCTCTATGCCCACTGTGGATAGCAACACATATGTGATTTCTTCTGACTTGCATAAGAGGTGAGTCCTGAAGTCCTTTCTCCCTCTGCATGGGTTCTTCCTACGGGGACGCCAAACCCATGTTCTAGTGATTGTCATAGTCAAGATTCAAGGTCCCAAGGCCACCTCTGTCCCTGGTCCTTGCTCCCACCATGGTCCCATTCCAGCTCCACCAGAAAACTCCTCTGTAGAGCTGTTTGTTCATCACTACCCATCCCTGGTGGCAGCAAGGGAAGAGATGATCCCATAAGGTTCCAGTCTCATCACAGAAGCAGGGCAGGAAGAGAGATTTGTCAACCTGGAGTGAATGTTGAGGGCAGAGTAAGCAGACATAACCCAGATGTTGAAGGATGTAAAGGAGAACCCTGCCTTTGATGTAAAATTGGGACGGGGACAGACCATACTAAGACCACATGGAGTCATTGAGGAGCCCTCATGGTTGGTGGTCCTTGAAGAAGGCCCTGGGGGATCTTCCAAGTAGGACGTGAACCTTCAGTATCAGGCTGTGATGAGCTGGCTATTGACTTCCCAGTGTTGGGGAGAGGGCATCATGGGATTCAAAGGCATGGGACCCTGATAGCTGTATCTTTCTCATAGGACACACTACATACTCCTGGTATTTCTGAAGGTGCCTGCCTTGCTCATCTTGGCTGGTGTTGTCCTCTGGCTGAAGAAGTCAACTCGGAAGATCCCTGAGGAACAGTGGAGACACACTCTCAGCAGCAATCTGGACTCTGAACTTCTGGACAAAGACATTTCCCCTTAGACTGGAGCATAAGCAGTGCCTTCCCAGTCTGGACTCGCATTCCAGAAACATCTTTAAGTTTTCAGTGGGTAGTGAGTGAGGCTGGTGCCCAGAGGGCTTGGCCAGGCATGATCTCCACTCTGCACACTATGGGGACACCACCCAGTCCCCCCTCAGGTGTCATCACACCTGCAGTACCAGAATCTCGCTCCTCCTCTACATTCTCTCCTGCCCTATCTCCTTTACCCGCCACAGTCAGCCCAGGGTGAGAACCGCTGGAATGGAACCAAAGCTGCAGAAAGACAGCTGCGTGTCCCTTGCTGAAAAAGCTTGTGCAGGGTCTAAGACAAAAGCACAGGGAAACAGAAGGGACCCAGTGGTGCGGGTAGATAGCCTATGCTTTGAGAGCTCAGGGAGCCTGGAGCAGGCATCCGCCCTCTGTCTGTCCTGGACACTGAGGCCACCCCTAGCATGCACTTCTGAGGAATCTGACAGGCCCAGGGTCTGGAGAGAAGAGAACTCAGACATCCATGACTTCGCCACAGGAGCTAGCTGGGTCTGCATTTCCCAGCAGGTGTGTTTGTCCAGGGCCAGAAACAGAAGGCCACACTCCCTTAAATAGAGCTGTGGCCTACACAGATGCATGGCATGCTGGTTCTAACCAGAGGTTAGTCAGGGGAGAGTAACAGAGAGAGGAGAGCCGCCAAGAGAGCAAGGCAGGCAGAGAGAGCCATGTGCCTCCCGACCTGGGTCCTCCCTGTGACCTGCACTGCAACATCCGCTCTGCAGAGGAAGTCAGGTTAGGGTATCTCGTCAGAGTAACTACCAACAGCGTGAGTCAGAAAGGCAGACACAGCAAGAATGGTCTCTTATCAAAGGGCTCTTCTGCTTTAACTGTGGTTGGGGAAAACAACGCCTAACATGCTTTTTCCATGAGGTTTCCAGTGCACAGTACACAGCCGGTATGCACACTGCAAAGGCAACAGATCTCTAGAACATTCTCATCTTGCAAGGCTCAGACTCTAAGCCCACTGCACACAACCCCTCACCCCACCAGGTCCTAGCTACCACCATTTCACTCCCCCCCCCTCGATGAGTTTTGCTAATGTACTTGAGTGGAATCATGAGGCATTTTTAGTCCGGGATTGCTTTATTCTATTTAGCACCATGTCCTCAAGGATCATCCACCTTCTAGCAGATGACAGAATTCTTTTAGGTTCAATGCTGAAATAATCTCCTACTGTGCGGATATACCACTCATTTACTAACAGGCCTTTTGGCTGTTATTACCTCTTGACGTTCGTGGACAATAAGCGTGGGTAGGTTGGTATCACATTGAGATGCTGTCTTCAATTCTCTTGGATCTGGTGGTGACGATTAATCTTGATTGTTGACTTTGCTGGGTTTAGAATCACCTGCGAGACACACCTCTGAGCTTTTCTATGAGGGTGCTTCCAAAGAGGTTTAACTGAGGAGAGATGACCCACCCTGAATGTGGGCCCTCCCCCTCCCGTAGTCTGGGGTCTCAGACTGAATAAAAACAAGGAAAGGGAGGAAGTGGGCTGAGCACCAATGGGTTCATCTCTCTCTCTTCTTCCTGAGGATGAAGTGTGGCTAGGTAGCTCATCGTTCGGCCTTTACAGCTAGATCTACCCCTGCTGCCGTGCCATCTCCAACATGATGGACTGTCTCCCTTAAAACAGTGAGCCAAAATAAACCTCGCCTTCCTTAAGCTCCTTCCATCATGGATTTTGTCACAGTGAGGCAAGTAACTAGCACGCAGGCCCGAGAGTTCTATCACTGGGTCCTGTGGCCATGGTCTCTATTTTGAATGATCGCTATAACATTTTCCACAATGGCTGCATTATTTTATATTACCACCAACAGGATGTAAACATGCTAATTTCTCCATATCCTTCATCTGCATTCATTGTCTTTTGTCTGGTTACTTTTATCACAGCTATTCTTCAGGTATTTTAATTTATGTTTTCCCAATAATTGGAGATGTTGGGCGTCTTGTCACATTCTTGCTATTCAAGTCCTTTGCCTAGTTAAAAAATAAAAAGCAAAGTTCATTGTAAAATGGTGGCACACACCTTTAATCCCAGCACTCAGGAGGCAGAGACAGAAGGATCTCTGTGAGTTCAAGGCCAGCCTGGTCTACGAGAGCTAGTTCCAGGACGGCCAGGGCTACACAGAGAAACCCTGTCTCGAAAAACCAAAACAAAACAAAACAAAAAAAAACCTTTAACTTTTATTCTTTAGTTAGGAGCAGAGGCTATAAAGCATCAGATTCCCTGGGACTAGAGTGACAGGTGGCAGCGAGTCACATGATGTAGGTTCTGGGAATCCACGTTGGGTCCTCTGCAACGGCAGTGGGTTTTATTAACTGCTGAACCATTGCTCCAGCTCCCTTTTGTCCACTTCTTAGTCAGACTGTTTATGCATACATATTCCAGATGTAATATCTCTTCAAAGATAATATTTTCAAACATCCTTCCCATTCTATGACTATTCTTACACTCTATTGAGAGTATAGCTCTTTGTCGGATATGGAGATAATGGATAATTTATGGAAGGGAAAAACATGACTTAAAACAAGCTGGCTACAAGAAGTAGGTAGAGAATTTCACTTTTTATAAGAAGATTATAGTGGCCAGGCATGGTGGTGCACACCTTTAATCCCAGCACTCATAAGGCAGAGGCAGATTTTGTAAATTCAAGGCCAGTCTGGTCTACAGAGTGAGTTCCAAAACAGCAAAGTCTACACAGGGAAACTTTGTTTTGAAAAGACCAGAAAAATAAAAAAAAGAAAAAAGATTAAACCATATACACATACATATAAAATAGACTGTCATATACTAAACTATGAACATTATTTTTGTTACATGAATAGTCTTCCCTTTACTTTTATGGATTTATTTATTTATACTAAAGTCTTGCATATCCCAGACTGGCCTTGAATTTGCTGTGGAGCTGAGAATGACCTTGAACTCACACGATCTGTCTGCCTCCACTTCAAAACTGCTGGAATTACAGATATGTGCCTTCACATGTAGCTTTATGTTGTGCTGGGGGTCTAACCCAGGCAATCACTCTACCAACTAAACTACATTCCAACCTGTTTTCCAATTAGATTTTAAAATCTGTTTTTCTTTTTTATAATTATATATGTGTGTGTATGTATGTATATGTGTATATACATATATATATATACACACACATATACACATACAATGTACTGTCACATCCAGCCCCACCACCCGCTCTCATGCTCATCTCAATCTCTCTAACCCTCCTCTTCTCAACTAGTCTCCCTACTTTCATGTCACAGGCGCTGTGTGTTCACAAGCGCAGCAGCGACATCACACCCAGAGGACAGCATTTCACAGCACTCCTCCCGTCCTTCAGCAATCTTTCCACCCATTGTTGTGGATATTACTTTAACTATGTAAAAATTGTTACATTTGCTTATGTTGTGAAATATTACTTTAACTATGTAAAGATTGTTACGTTTGTTTATGCTGTGAAATATTACTTTAACTATGTAAAGATTGTTACGTTTGTTTATGCTGTGAAATATTACTCTAACTATGTAAAGATTGTTACGTTTGTTTATGCTGTGAAATATTACTTTAACTATGTAAAGGTCTGTTGCATTTGTTTAACTGTGTAAAGATGTTACGTTTGTTTATGATGCATTTGTTTAACTATGTAAAGATGTTTTGCATTCGTTTCAGCTCGTCTGCTTAAGGTGCCTGACTGGTCTACTAAAAAGCTGAACAGTCAATAGCTAGGCAGTAGAGGGGTAGGTGGGCTGGCAGGCAGAGAGAATAATTAAGAGGAGGAATCTAAGCTCGAGAGGGAAGAGAACAAGGAAGAAGAGAGAGCTGCCTGAGGCCAGCCAGGCAACCACCAGACAGACAGACACCGAGGAAGCGGGAAAGTGGGACATACAGAATGAGAGAAAGGTGAAAAGTTTCAATGCAACATGTAGATAAAGAGAAACGGGTTAAAATAAGTTATAAGAGCTAGTGGGACAAGCCTAAACTAAGGTCAAGACCATTCATAAGTAATAGTAAGTCTCCATGTCATGATTTGGGGGCTGGTAGGCTGAGAAAGCCTAATACAAACCATTCTTCTTCAGTGCTCCCTGGGCCTTACAGAGGGTGATTCCAATGTCATGTTTAAGGATGAGCACCCACAGTCACTTATTCTCAGCCCTTTGACCAGTTAGAAGCTTCTTCTCTGGCCATGGCCAAGACCAGCACTAATCTACAGATATGAACACAAATATCCAGAAAGCAGTTTGACTATGTGTCCACTTGGCAAAATATCAGAGTGTTTTTGACCAAGTTTGCAGTGCCTAGATTTTTCTCCCTCCCATGGAGTGGCTTCAAATTCAAGCATAAGGTAGTTGTTTACCCCCAAAACAGCAGCGCCACTATTGCACCAGTGAGTCTATCTTGCCTGGAAGGTTACTATTGTAATATTTAGGGTCCAGATTTGGGTAAGACCACTGATCTTACCACTTGGCAAGGCTCCCCCAAAATGCCTACATGGCACTTTCCTGCTTCCAAGGACCCAGCTCAATTCCAGAGTAGTCCCTCTGTGTCCTGTAACGACATTGTGTGATATCTTTGGCAATAACGTAAACTACATATATTTTAATATTAACTTGTTATTATTTTGTGTGTATGAGTTTTTTTGTTTGCATGTGTGTGCCACATGCATGTCTGGTGCCACAGAAGCAAAAAGCAGGCACCATATCCCCTAGAATTGAAGATGGTTGTGAGCAGCCATATAGGTGCTGGGAACTGAACCCAGGTCCTCTGCAAGAGCAGCCAGTGCTCTTATCCACTGAACCATCTTGCTAACCCCTAATTATATTTTAAACATTGTCATTTTGCTCATGTTTCTACTTTGCTCATAGGTAGGCAGTTTTGAATCCACCACAATAGGGTCTTACATTTAGCTTCCCCTCCTTGAAAATTCTTGGTTACCCCTTTCTCCCCATTCCACGGATCATCCCCAGCCCTTGCTTCCTTGTTCAGGGGTTCGTCTCAGGGCATCACCACTTCCTCCATGCTCTCACCGTTAGCTACCCAGGACCTTAAGCCAGTTTATTTGGCCAGTGTGGGTGGACTGATGCAAGTTCCTTCCCGTTTTTCTGCCTGCCGCCTCATCATTATCTTCATCCTAACATTGGTTCTTCCTGGTTTCCAGGGAGTACATTGCATGCAGTCATCACACTCAGCCCCAGTGACTTCCAAGGAAGAAATGAGCCATCTCTTCTAGAAGATTCCAAGAGACCCTCTTCCCACACCTCCCTTGAAATTCCATGGTCTGATTCAGACTCATGGGAGCACCCTTAAGCCAATCAATGACAAGATGATTGGGAACACCTTGCCACTGGGGTATAACCCTCTGCCCGTTCACACTCCAACAAAGCATTACTGTCTTGGTGTGGCAGTTGGGCAGGAGGCCGCCCTACAAACTTTGCTGAAACCCAGCTCTATTCTTGGACGGCTCACGTGCTGCCCAGGTCCTGCCCCTTAGTCTGTGTGAACACAGCAGCTCCTTGCTCTCTCGTCCTCCCTCAACAGGGACACATGGTGAGAGACCAGAACACACACCAAAGCATCCCCTCTGCTACACCACCTGATAGTCAGGTTGCGGATGACATTTTGTGACTGTGAGTTCTCTGCAAGATGCAGGCTTGGAAACCTGACCTTCCCTCTGCCTCTCAGCACAGCCTCCTCCAGGATAAGGAAATGATCCTCTTTGTAACAAAAGGTTCTGTGAGAACACTGGCTGAAGGCTGGGTGACCATCATTTTCTAGATGCTTGTGGCAAGCCCAATAGCCATATTCCTGCCAATCAGTCAATCAATCAATCAATCAATCAATCAATATTGAGGCTTTATTTAGCTGCCAAATTTTCCCTTAAGCCTATTTGTCAGGAAGCAACCGTCTCTCCAGTGTTAACGCAGGTCCCCTCTCTGATTCTGGGGAGGGTTTGTCTTCATTTCAGGGTATCCTCAGATAGCATAAGCCAAAGGAAGATGGGGCACTGCTAACTCATGCTGGGAGAAGGAAGTGGCAGAAATCCTACCAGTCACAGCTCAAATTCTCTGTCAAGAGGTCCCTGCATGTGGCTGGATGAGCCTCCCTCTTGGACATAATTACTCTTAGCCATCAATCATAGTCATGTATCTAGGTGATCGGAGATGAAACAAGATGTCACCTGCCATCAGCTCTCTCGTTTACACAGGAGAGGGGATGCTGTGACGTGTCCCCTTCCAAGGACTCATTTGGTGATGTCCCTGTTGTGAGCCGCTGGCATGCCACTATCTGCTTCCCACAGCAGCTAACTCTGGAAAACTCCCGGCGAATAGTCTTGCTGGGACAACAGAAAACCAGCACTGTCCTCCATCAGACTCGCAGAGGCGCCGTAGCTCCACCACCCTGCACAGGACAGCGACGCTCAATGAATACCAACTCAACTGATCCCACAGAACAACTACGGGTGGTGGGAAAGGTCCAACTTGAAGTGTTCCCTGTGCGCCCAAAAGACATACAGAACCTTCACCTTGAGGTTTTGTGGGAGGACACTTTGCTGACCACAAAGAGAGAATGGGCTGACCAGAGACAGTATGAAACCATGACCTGGAATGGAGTGATGGGTATGACATGGAGGACATCACGCTTGGTGGAGCATACACAGAAAGCCACATGCATTCTGCTTATTGTGGAATCAAGATATATATTCTACCGAATACTTCTGCTTCTAGAACATTCTCCTGTCTTCACCTCCCGTCTCACAGTAGAGTGCTAGGATTACAGATGTGCACCACTGCATCCAGCTTTCTTACGTGGTTTCTGAGGATCAAACTCAAAACCATGGCAAGCACTTCTGCCCCCCAC